GGGAGATAAAGGTAGGTTGGTTGGGGGGGGTGTGAAAAGGAGAGAAGGAAGCAGAAAGTGGGGAGAAGCTACTTGGGTTTTTCAGGAAAGGGAAGAGGACACAGAGAAATAGGGAAGAATGAGATGTCCCTGGGAAGAGCATGTGGGCCCCTCCTTGTAAATACAGAATGTTTGAAAAGAACTAACATGTTACCTTTGTCTTACTTTCTTCTGCGAAGCCAGGTGTGTCTGTATCCGGAGGATAGGCAACTGTGATATAGACATTATAGGGCTTTACCTAATTTGGCAAAGAAAAATATTTGGTTCATGCACATTGAATATGAAGTACGACACGCAAAGAGATGGGTATTAATGTAACACAGTTTAAAAGGTACAGTACTCCAGAATATGCTCTTAACTATACACAAATCCACCTTTTCAGGACTAGTACTTTGTTTATATCTAATGGGCAAGGATATTGGAAGCATCTGCAGACAGTATCTTTCTCTGGAATTTGTTTCGCCTTTCAGCTCTAGAATTTTCGAAGCTGTTTCTGCGCTGCACATGTGGAACTACACAAAGAATGGAAACTGTTTCAATCACAGCTGTGTCACCAATATTTCTAGCGAAGGAGAATTACTGCCACATTATCTGGAGCTGCTACTTTGAAAAAGTCCCAAATCGGTGGTAGCGGATAGCTCAGCTGCTGACATTCAGTGTGAAGCAGACACAAGGGGGTAAACTACAAGTACAGTGGCAGATTCAAGGATTTCCCAACGATAACGATAACAACAGTGCAGCCCAACGTGGACGTACAAGACTATTTAATCTATCAGTATCACCTTCCTTCAAGAACACTGCATCACTTGAGTGCATGTCATGTAAAGGTATTCTTGATGTCCGGCACTGGTAGTAGAGAAGGTATAAGTAGGTGCGGGCTGACAATTCTGTCTTTTGCACAAAGTTCCCAAACCATACTGCAGGCGGTGCCTCTGCTTCCAACCTAGTTCTAAAACAACTGGCTTTTTATTACAATGTGGCACACTGTAAGAGAAGCTTCTGAATTCAAGTCACACCAAATCTCTTCCCCCGCCCCCAAGGGCACAATGCAAGCAGATGAACAGATAATCATACCTCCATTTGCAAAGCTTCCGCTAATCCTCGAAGTGCAAACTTTGTTGCAGAATAAGCTGTGTAACCAAATAGTCCAAGTTGCCCAGCCTGGGATGACACAAACACAATCCTTCCCATTCTTCGTTCCTTCATGGTGGTAATTACTGCATGAGTTGGGTAAACACTACCCAGGTAGTTGACAGACATCAGTTCCTGCAGGAACAGACACATGTCTGAGACAGAGTCAACTAATTTCAGACCAATAAATGTTTATGACATCCAGTAATCCATGGGCAGCTAATGCAATCATAAATTTAGATGGGTGCAACCTAGCCCAGCTTCTGCAATTTTAATCCACACTGCCAGTAAGCCTAAGGGAGTGCAAAAAATCCTGCTTACACATAGAAACAGAAGAGCTGTCATTGCCAGTACAACACCTAAACAACTTGCAAGTTTCCCCCATGAACATGTTGGAGCACATCCCCTTGCACACAACCGTTAACACAAACGATGCCAAGATGTTGACTAAAGGATGCCTCCACTTTGTGGGATCTGTGTTAATTGGACACACCATTCAGGGGCCATGGTAATTTGCAGGAAGGTTCAGCTATCCTCCCCCCTGCCATGAGAGCCCCAGAGTGAGAGGTGGGAGAAAAAATGGTGTTAGAAGCTAGTAATGGTAGTTTCCAATCAAAACAGTACAATAGGATGACTGTTTTGAACAATTTCTCACACTGGATCACCATCCACGAAGAGATCCATCGGTGGCTATTAGCCACAAGGTATAGATGGGATGCTCTGTGCTCTGTATTCTTGGTGCTTGGGGGGGGCAACAGTGGGAGAGCTTCTAGTGTCCTGGCCCCACTGCTGGACCTCCTGATGGCACCTGGTATTTTTGGCCACTGTGTGACACAGAGTGTTGGACTGGATGGGCCACTGGCCTGATCTAACATTGGCTTCTCTGGACAGAAAATGACCTAATTTCCCTGCTATTATTTCTTTACTGTATTTATGTGAAAGAAGTTAGTTTTATACCCCACCCTTCACTACCTGAAGGAGTCTTGGACTGGCTTACAGTCACCTTCCCTTCCTCTTCCCACAACAGATACCCCTGTGAGGTAGGTGGGGCTGAGAGATCTCTGACTGACCAAAGGCCAGCCACCTGGGCTCAAGTGGAGGAGCGGGGAATCAAACCCGGTCCTCCAGATTAGAGTCCGCCGCTCTTAACCACTGCACCAAACTGGCTCTCTTGCTTTTAAAAAGTTCCCATGTGTTCTACAATAAGAACATGAAGAATGTACACCCTGTTTGCAGTAGCTGCCTTCTGTGCTTGTCACTGACGTACGGGAGGCACGTGAAGAGCAAGCAGCGACATATACTTAAGCTGTCAATCAGGGCTTCTGGCAAACTGTTCCGCCTTCTCTCTTGTCAGGGCAATGCACTTCTCAACGAGCCCTGCGTGGGGGAGGAGGCAGAACAGGAGGCAGAAGCTGCCAAGATCTGGACAACTCCCAGGCAGTTTCTCTCTCCTGCCATCAGAACAAGAATGTCTAATGGCCTTGGTTTCCAGGGCTTCTAATACTTTTTCCTATGGGAGAGCCTTTGGACCCTCACTGAGAGCCAGACAGACATGAAGGTGTGCATAGGGTGGCATGTTTGCTCTCCACCCCATCACTATAATTTTATCAAGTGCTGAAACAGCTGTGCCCCTCATGGCTCTTACAGCACTTGCTATCAGGATTGGGGCCCCCGCAACATTTTTAAATGACTTCAAAATGGGATTTGCCATGAGGATGTTGTCACATTGGGTTTGGCCTCGAGAGGCCATTTTTGTGCTCCTTTTAAAGAAAAGCACTATTTCTCTGCATATCTAGGAAGTCACCTAAGTGTGCAGAAATCACTGCCTTGCCTGTGGCGACCCTGTTTCACTGCCCTATTGATTGGCGCAGATCACCAAGCTTGCTATAAGAAGAACAACCAAATATTATAGCAGGTCCCCAACCAAATGCAGCAGTGCTCCTGGTTCGAGGCTTTGTAAATATATCCAGTCCCCCACATGGCCCATCTGTACTTATATCCAGAGACTGGGGTTCATGGACAGACATCTTTCTATAAGCCTGAGAAAAGGCCCAGGTTTGCAGAAAAATCAGAAATCTTTTAAAAAAAAAATACTCCCCCCACAATGATAGAAAGGATTAAATCCTGTTGCTTCAAAAAACAAATGCGCTCAGTGTCCATTGCTAGGCAACCACAACAGTATTGTCAGCCGTCAAGCCTGGTTTGATCAGTAAAAGCCATGGGGCTTTGTGAGGGCTGTTTTAGCCTTTGAGGAAGGACACTGGGGCCAAGGCCACCAGCATCTAACGCTGACTTGCAACCATGTGGCTTGGGTGACTCACCCACGCCTGGAAGCTCACTAGTGTTCAACAGCAGCCACCTCTTGAAAACCGGCGTGGCATAGTGGCTAGGGTTTCAGTCTAGGATCTGGGAGACCCAAGGTGGAATCATCGTTCTGCTGAGCAAGCACGCTGCGTGATTTTGGGCCAGCTGCGTACTCTCAAGCCTGGCCTACTTCACAGGGTGGTTGAGAGGATAAAATGGAGGAGAATGAGGCAAGCGGCTCTGGATCCCCATTGGGGAGAAAGATGGTAAAAAAAAAAAAAAACTAAAGGGGCAGGTAAAAGGTAGGTTGGTGGGTGGGAGGGAGAGAAGGAAACATGGAAAACTGCCAGAAGGAGAAAATGAGGAAATAAGTGTTTGTGTGTGTGTGTGTGGGGGGGGGATAAAAGGGAAAGTGAGGTGCTCCCTCCAAGTACTTGCAGGTTCCCCAACAGGTAACTAAGCCCAGCCTGGCTGCTTCTACTGGCATCACATGAATAGGCCAGACTTCATGGAGAAGGGCTGCTGTAGAGTTAAGGAGGAAAAGCTGGAGTGAGGGGCCAGAAAAAGGTGGGTTGGCTGGTGGGTGGGAAGGTGAAAAGGAAGGAAGAAAAGGAGAGAGTACAAAGCTTTCAGAAAAACGAAAGAGGAAATGCCCCCCCCCCCGGAAATCCTATATTTGTACAGTATCCACCCTGAGCCAGTTTGGTGTAGTGGTTAAGTGCGTGGACTCTAACCTGGGAGAACCGGGTTTGATTCCCCACTCCTCCACTTGCACCTGGCTGGATGACTTTGGGCAAGCCGTAGTTCTGATAAGAGCTGTCCTTGAAAAAGAGCAGTTTCTGTCAGAGCTCTCTCAGCCCCGCCTACCTCACAGGGTGTCTGTTGTGGGGAGGGGAAGGGAAAAGAGTTTGTAAGCTGCTCTGAGGCTCCCTTGGGTAGTGAAGGGCGGGGTATAAATCCAATCTCCTCTTCTTCTTCCTAGCTGGATGTTCCTGTTCTAGGCCCTAATTAACCCTACAGGCACGTTGCAGTGCTAGTGCTATAGTCTTGTCCACTATCATGAAGCAATAGTTATTCAATTTATGGCCAGTCGGTTGCCCAAAAATGTCTCCAAGTTTGAGATAAGATATTTTTCTACACAGGAACTCAAGAAAGTATAACTCTATCATCAAGTCACACAGCCCCACTACAGCTACTAAGTCATCCTTTCCTTTCTAGAGTGATGATCTTGCTATCAGGAAGCAGAGTTTAATTATATACTTTGGGGAGTTGTCCCCATATTCTTGGGCAGACCAAAACTGGAATGTATAATTTATTTCTAGTCTTACAAAATCAATACACTATTTAAAATTTAATTTATATCCCGCTCTCCCTGAAACTGGCTCAGAGTGGGTGACAACAATTTATAAAACAATTTAGAAACTCGATTCAGTCCAAGAGGATGCACTGTCTTGAGCTTCATGATCAGTTGTGATTCAGCCGTTTCTCTTTCTAATCTCCCTTTGAGATTCCTTTTTTTATAAACAATTTTATTTTATCTAACAAAAAAGAAACCAACGTCTCTTTCATTTTGTCCTCTCAAAATTAAAGTTAGTTTGTCCATCTCTGCAGTTTCAAGTATTTTATTAATAATTTCTTCTTTTGAAGGTACCTCATTTTCCCTCCAGTATTTGGGATATAATATTCTTGCAGCTGTCACTGCATGTATAACAAGATAGGAATCTTGCTTTCTCCCTTTGAGATTCCTTTGTAAGGGAACTACTTCTCAGGTCAGCAACTAAATGAGTCCCTTACTCGTTCTTCGATGTTGTAGTTTCTAATGTCAGACTTACGTCCATTTATTCTGAAGAAGTGAACAGTGACTCATGAAAGCTCATATCCTGCTGCAAAATTTGTTAGTCTTTAAGGTGTCACTGGACTCTTGCTCTTTTCTTAGAATATAGTTTACTACCTACTGCTGGATTAACCATTACCAAATGCTTTAATACCACTGCTTACCTCAAAATTCTTGGTGTTGAGATCTTCAAATTTTCCAGTAACCGAAGTCCCAGCACTATTTACAAGCATATCGACCGGACCCAACTTCTCTTGAGCCTAGAAAAGGTAATCTAATAAATCCAAGATAGATGCACTTCTGCAACAATGTAACCCATTAAAAACACACACAAAATGTAGTAAAAAGCCCAACGTTTTCTTACTTGTTTTAGGACCCGCTCCACATTTGCATAGTCTTTAGAAACATCTACCGAGATGCAGTGTACAACCTATGTGAAAGGGCCAGGGGAAGAGAAGAACAGAAAGATTAGTAAGAGTGTGGTATTGTTGAAGCTAAGTGGATATAGATCTGATGTTGAGGAGGAGACCACAGCAAGCTCTTGCAAGTTTCTCTAAGCTTCATAAAGAATAACAGGGCATAGGTAGACTAAGTGTGTAGGAAAACAGGTTCAGTTTATATTTAATTTCCACTAACTATAACCGCACTGACCTATTACAAACAACTTGGTCAACCATTTATCTTTTTAACTACTGAGAGTCATTTCTGCAGCCCAACTGTACTACTTTGTCTTACTAGGATAATCTTTGTTGTTATGAGTCAAATATCAAATCTCATAATACACTCACTGACTGACAAAGCTATTATCATACTTGTAATCTACCTTTGGTCCCAATGAGAAAGATGGACTATAAAATAAAATATTCAGAGAAGTACTTAAAAAAGGAACCACCTCTCTATTTAAAATCATGACTTCCTGGTTAGACAAAAGATCTGCTGAAATGAAAGCTTTCAAGATGTTGCTGGCTACCTGTGTATACTTCTGGGACACCTATGTTACAGCCAGGGGTCATTTCGTAGAAAAAGAGGTGCAGGAGCTCATTAGTATAACCAGGGGTCTTGTTGTAGAAAAAGAGCTGCCGGAGCTCATTAGCATAACTCATTAGCATAACTTATTTGCATATGCCACGCCCCCTGACATCACCGGAAGTGACAGAAGGCCACACCCCCTGACATCACCGGAAGTGTGTCAGAAGGCCCGGCTACTTACCCTCCTGCTTCATCCTCATTCCCAAACGGAATGAGGATCGAAGCAGAGGGCGGGGTAAAGAAGGGGGCGGGGCTTCACCACATGACCGCCCCGCCCCCTAGAGGTTCTCTTCCGGAGCTCCGTACCTGAGAGCTCCCCCCCGACTAGAGCCCTGAGTATAACTCATTAGCGTAACTTATTTGCATGTACCACACCCCGACACCACCGGAGGTGTGTCAGAAGGCAACACCCACCACTCAGGCTCCACTGGACTGTTTTGGATTCCTAGCTATTGGGGGGGGGGGAATGTGCATATCTGTCTTCGCGGAGGAGGGAGAGCTTGTACCTGAATAAAACTTGGTCTTAAAGGTGTCACTGGACTGTTTTGGACCGGGGGGAGCTCTGCAACTTACCTGCTGCTTCTTGCTCTGCCTGAGGGCTGCTGGGAGCAGGGGGTGGGGCTTGTTGCATGTACCCACCCCCCTGGGCTCTTTACTGCCGGAGCTCCGCTCCTGTAGGTAATGACCCCTGGCTACAGCTATGCACAACTGAAGCCTAGCACTATCTACAATTCTGTTTAACTTTCTTAAGGTAACTGTGAATTGATTTCATGCACTGTTCCATTTAGCATTTGGTCTCCATGTTATTATAACACAGCAGAATATTTTCTCTTATCTGCCCATACTATCTCACAGCTAGGGCAGGTCAACCATTACTGTCCAAGATAGCAAGTTTACCTGCTTATCATTAACTGCATATTTTTCAATTTCCTTCTTTGCCTCCAACAGCCGACTCTGGAATGAAAGAAACACATTTGGGACATTCTGGCAAAATAATTACCACCACAATTAAACTCCTTCTGAAGTAATAGAACAAGTCATGCCTTTGTTGTAGATCTTCATAGAAGTGTTTAAAAATATCATTCAGCACTTAGTATTGCACTTTAGAAATGTTATTTTTGTTTACATGTCTTATTTATATCCCACTTTTCTCCCCAATGGGGATCTAAAACAGCTTATATCATTCTCCTCTCCTGCAACAACCCTACGGGTGTGGCCAGACAGCGTGCCGGGAGCGAGTTTTAACCTGGAGATTTGCAATCGCACTCACCTCCTTGCTCCGGATCGCTGCGCAGCCACATCGCTCCCTGCCGTCCATGGGAGGGAGCGTGCATCGGTGTCCCCCCCCCCCCTCTCAGTTTGGGCATGCGCACAGGCAGCCATCTGTAGAACTAAAATTTTCACCCGTGCACAGAACAGCAATTTCCACTTCAACCCGACTGCTGTAACACTTCCCTTTAAAAAAAATGTTTTTAATCCCCGGAGGGATATTTTTAATTATTTTTTAATAAGACTACAAAACTACAAAGAAAATATGAGGGAGGGGGATAACATCTAAGGATAAAGGATAGATAACCACACTACACTAAAAACCCAAGAGGAGGAGATCATATCTGTGTTAGTCTAAGTGTTATTAATAAAAGTGTTAGTACAACAATATACTTGTAGAGTTCTTGTTTGTCTCGGCTTCAATGTTAGTATGTTAGTTGTTGTGAGAGAACTTTCTGAGCATCTTGTTAGTTGTTCACTTCCCTTTAAACTTTAAAGGAACACTTCCCTCTAAACGTTTACCCAAAAATGGCCTCTGTGAGATCCCGAACTCGTTTAAACACTAAAACTAGGCACTGTTTAAACATTGTTTTTTAATAACGCGATGGCGGAGCTCCGCCTATGCGTCCACCGCCAACGCTTTTAAAAAATGGAGGGCAAAAAGCAGAAGCCTTGGGCAGCGTTCGAGCAGGGAGGGGGTTTAAACCCGAAGTGGCTTGACACCGGAGGAGTAATCACACAGGGAGAAAATGCGGCTGGAAACAGAGAATCAGGAAACCACCACTTGGGGACCTGGTAACAAAGTACTCCGGTTTAAAGGGGATTTGAGCTGGAAAGCGACGGCTGGGGACAGGAGGCAGATGTTGACTGTGTGATCACGCGTATAAAATCCGTTTCTGAACTGGCACGAGACCAGATCAAATGGTGCGTCTGAATGCACCCAATGAGGTTACAGTAGCCCCTGTAAAGAAGAGCCCTGCAAGCTCTTGGAGGATTGGCTACATTAGGGGTGTGTCGCCTAATATGCAAAGGAGTTCCTGCTACAAAAAGAGCCCTGAGTGCGTGACTGGCCCCAGGTCATCCCTCAAGCTTTCATGGCAGAATGGGGCTTTGGACCTGAGTTTCCCAGATCCACATTTGACGTTTTAACCACTACATTAACGATGGCTCTATTAATACACTTGATCCTTTTACAAATAATGGGGTGGATCTAACCATCCTCCAGTAGAAGAGACACTTAAGTAGGAGGAAGACTCCTTGCATTACAGAAAGGCAGTAAGATCCACACATAGATTACACCGCAGCAAGATACATACACCTTGCCCAATCAGGGTTCATCTCTAATAACGTTCAAAAAGTGTTTGATTTAACGGATCGTGTTCAAAAACATAAAAGCTGCCTTTATAGGCTTGAGACTAATTTTTTTTTTAAAGCCCCCGGAGGGGATTTTTTATTGCATTCTCTATAAACTACAACGAAAAAAAGAGAAGGGAAAACTACATCTATGGAAGAAAGGAAAGAAAACCAAACTAAAAACTCAAGAATAGGAGATCATTACAATAGCTTGTATCAGTGTTAATCTAAAATGCTATGATTACATTGAACATAGTCGATCATGCTATATTGTTTATCTTTAAAACCACTGTTTTCACTATTTAAAGAGAATCACAAAAGCATCATTGATATCTTTAAGGCCTTAAGGCACAACTCAAAGTTCTTCAGCCTTCATTTTGTTTTAACTTTTCTAATCTTTAATTGATATTCTCGCTTAGGGGCTGCGGCCCCTTTTTCGGAGACAGAGTCCTCATCGGAAGTAGCAGAGTCCATTTCATCACTAGGTTTGCTGTCTTCTTCTTCCTTGCCATCCTCACCGGACTCTCCTAGTTGCAGTCTCAAGAACTCACATGCTTTAGAAACAGAGTCAATTTTTTCTTTTTTATCCTGCAGTTTGAAAATGACGCCTTCGGGGGTCAACCATTTCTAAGGAATGCTGTTTGTTTGTAAAAATAGGATCAAGTCCTTATACTTCTTCCCCTTTTTCCTTATTTCAAATGGAATGTCTTTTAAGATTCTGATGATGTTGCCTCCAATTTTCAAGGGCGTTCCTGTAGTTGCTTTCAGGACTTGGTTCCTCACATGTCTCTTCGAGAATCTAACCACTATCTCCCCAGGCAGATTATTTTTCTTGATATAAACGGAATACGTTCTATAAACCACATCCATTTCGCTTAAAGGTATTCCGCTTTTAAATCTGTGATTGGGGCTAGCACATCACTCAGCAGTTGCTTTAGATTCTCTTCTTTTGCTTCAGGGACCCCTTGGAACCAGAGGACTAGGTTAGCCTTTTCCATTTGTAGCTGCAAAAATTGATATTAATCTGAAGCTTGCTTCTTTTCCAGCATTTGAACCTTTTTCTTAACCTTTTTAGAGTTGGCATCCATTTCCTTCACTTTCTCAACTGTTTGCTCCATCTTTTTTGTAGTCTCAGTCAATTGGAGCTGCTGAGCTGCAAAATTCTGGTTTAAAGCTGTCAGTTGTTGATTGATGTTCGTCATCTGGTCCAGTAGAGGGCGCAAAGAGTCCACTAACAATTTAGAAAAGTCAGTGGTATCTTCTGGCCACGGGCTCATGCTCCCCGGTGGTTTCACTTTTGCTTGTCTGTCTTTCTTCGTTTTTTCCCACACCATTTTTATGGATTGTTTACTTTTTAAAAAACTTGCTAAAGTCTCTGAAATTCACCCAAGCGCTTACAGGCGCTCTAGTTGATCTCTTAAAATAGATTTTGATGCTTTTTCTTCAGCTCCCCCTTGGCAAATTGCTATTCTCTTTGTGCGTATGGGAGGGCCTCCCCCCGCTCGCTCGTCTTGCCGTTCCCAGGGGGGCTTTCTTTTAAATTCCCGGCATTTCGATTTAACTCGACTCACTGTTCATTGATGGTCCGAAGACCTTGCTCAAGGTAAGTTTTTTGTGCTCCATCTCCAACCCTTGTCCCAGTCAGCGGCTCTGGTTCCATTGCGGACGCAGCAGCGGCAGGACCGTCGGGGCAGAAGAGCGCCTCAATTCTCCAGCAAAGTGCTGGCAAAGAGGCTACCCTTCAAAGCCCCATGGCTAGGAGCCTGGGGTGGTGGTGACCAGTCCCCCCCCCAACTGCTGGCACACGGATCACTTCCCCGGGAGGTCTGGGAGAAACGTCCGCTATTGTGTCTCCATAAACCGGAAGTCCATGGCTTGAGACTAAATTTTTGATAGCATGTATAAAAAGCCTTTGATTTCAGTACTTACTTTTCCCAATGAGCAAAAATTATATATGCACATTCAGAAGCATGATTAAATATACTGGGTATGCTTTCTCCAAAAATGTCCATCATCAGCTTCATTTTTTGCTTTTGTTTAGGAACCGTTCGCTGTTCTCATTAGGAACTCTCTTGAGATTAAGGGCACTGGCTCACATCAATTTAAAATAGCACTTTATGATGATTCTGAACTTATTTATTTATTCATTCAAAAATTAACCTGGGATTAAACATAAAATAAAGACCCTACTTGGCAAAATGTCTCAGCTTTTGTATTATTGGATTTCAAGTTAGTTCAATCTGTTGTATGTCTTTTCCGTTCCTTAATTCTATTAACTTAATCATATAGTAGATTGCTAGGCTTTTTTGTACCTTGTTTTATTCTGTGTTCAGAGCTGATTCTTGTTTCCAGTGCCTTGCAAAAAATTATTCTAGCTGCTGTGATTGGGTGCAAAACAACAGTAAGTAGATTTAAGGGAGATTTTGGTACACAATTTAGAAGAAGAGCCTCAGTTTAGAAAAATCAATTCCAAACCCAACCTTCACAGCATCTAAATAGGATTGCCAATATTTTTAGCATGCGTACATGTCTGCCACATATGCTAGAAATCACCTTCAGATAACTTATAGTACCAACATAAATCATGTAAGTTCGTGTAAAATTTTGCTAGTTTATAAGGGGACAAATACTACTGTAGCATTTTCAAAGTCTTCTTTAAATTGTGATGACACTGAATTTAGATCCATTTATTAGCACACATCTCAATACTTCATTGGATCCTTTCCCCATTTCACTTGAAATGTTTATTTATTTAAATCCATGCTGTAAATGACATTAAGTATGCTCTCTAAGTAATGTTTTCCCCAGCTCCACACCACTCCTCAGATGCAGAACACCTCATAATTAAAACAAAAAAAAACATTAACTTGTAAATATTTAGATGGCCTAATTGTTTTATTCATCAAGTGAGCAACTGTTTCAAAGGGGATTACCGTGTTGTTTACAATTAGATTCTCAAAAGTACTGTGACTGAACAATCCCCATTTTTTAAATGAGTGAAACTGGACATTCTGAAACTTATCTAATTCTCTCACAACTATGGATACAGAGAAATATTAGGAGACAACTTCCTTTTGTATGAATCCCAGACGAACATCAGGTTATTTATAATAATTCATTTATTTATTCGATTGACACCCTGCCCTCCCAGCCAAAGCAGGCTTAACTTTAAGAAAGCTTAACCTTCTCTAAAAAAAAACATTTATGAAGTCTTGCCAGGATTTTTGTGAAGTACATAGGGTTGCCAAGTCCATCTTCCACCCGCAGTGGGGGACTTTGGGGGCGTTCCTGGAAGGGGTGGGGCATCCCCAACGTGATGACGTCATGTTGGG